CATGGTCAACATTTTACCCTTGGCCCACTCACTAAAGTCCTCCTTTTACCTCTAAAGCAGTTTAAGTGCCTCTTTACACACCCTTCTTGTAATACTAATGATTAAGGCGTTCCTGGAACATGATTTTAGTACTGCCTCTTAAGTGGTGCTGAAATTTAGCTCACAGAACACACTGTAGTGGAAATAAACACAGAACCTGTGAACAGTGTTCCTATTTGTTGAAGACCAGCTAGATGTTTTTATGCATCACCATTGATATATGTGATGACGTTCGTTTTCTATTCCCATATTGTCAGTGAAGGGCTACAAAAGCAAGTGTTTTCTTTCACACACTTTGAAAAAGGTGAGAGCTTTTAATCACAATGATGAATAAAGTTCAATTTGAACTTCACTGTGTAATGCCGCTGTTATTCAGAAAATACTGTGACATACATCGTGATGGGAAGAAATAGTGATTCTGCTCTCTCCTGAACTGGTGGTCATGAGTACAGCCAGGTATGAACACTTTCCTGGCACCAACCAAACTGTTTCAACCAAACATTCTCTCAATCATGATTAATTTATTTTCACACTTAAATTTTCAGATACAAATTAGCAATATCAATCAATCAATAGGATTAGGATATTAAAAACCAGTAGGCGTAATTATAACGTTTTTCTAATTATTAAATTTTTTTTTAACCGATTTTAAATGTATTTTTACAAAAATTGATTTAAACACCAACATGTGATAAATGGACTACACATTCAATAAATTGGCTCACTTAAAAAAAATAACTCTCACTGGACACTTTATTAGGCACAAATTCTCAATAATGCAAATATCTAATGAGCCAATCATGTGGCAGCAACTCTAAGTACAACAGGTTCAGCTGTTGTTCAGGACAAACATAAGAACATGAATGATCTCACTTGGTGTGTAGAATGACTGTTTGAGGTTTCAGTCTGTCATAAACTCATGATTTCACACACAACACTGTTGAGTTAACAGAGAATAGTACAAAAATCTAAAAGAACATTCAGTGGGCAGAGGTAATGAGAAGGGTCAGAAAACAATGGCCAGATTGGTCAAGCTAACAACAAGGACATAGTAAATCAAATAACTACGCGTTACATCAGCGCTCTGCACAAGAGCATTTCTGAATGCAAATCATGCAGAACCACACTGGGAGACTGAGGCTACAGGGGACACAGGCTCACCAAAACCGGACTGCAGAAGATGGAAAACCTCTCCTGGTCTGGCCAGTGTGGAGTTCTGCTGATGCATGCACATGATGAGAACTGAAACATGAATGTGTCAGACTGCTGCTGGTGGTGGTGGTGTAATGGTGTGAGAAATATTTTCATGGCACACATGAAACACCTTAACACCCACTGATCATGGTCACAGTCTACCATCTTCTAATGACTACTTCCAACAGGGTAACTCTGTGTCACAAAGCACACACCACCTCAACATAAGTTCAGTGGTTCATGTGGTAGAATGAGAGCTGCAACATGAACGTAGAGCCAGCAGCAAACATGTGATGTCATCAGGGAGCAGAATCTCTAAAGAAAGCTTCCAGCATGCTGTAGAGTTCATGACACCCACAATTTAGGCTGTTGTGGGGGAAAGAGGTTTCCTGCCTACTATTAGAGACGTGGCCACTGAGTGAGGTTTGCAACAGGAGCAAAAGAGTCTTCCTAGGATTAGTTTACCTAGCTCACATTTAAATTAAGAATTACTCAATCTGGATGTTTGTTTATAGCATAAAATGGTGCATGAATGTACAGGTCAAAAACAAGGTGTGCTATCAGAGGTCAAATGGTCAGGACTAGATGAGGTAGTCACAGTACCTGCTCTGGCTCCAACAGCACTTTTGTAACCGTAATCTCAATCTTTATTCCTGCACAGATGAAGCAGGTCTACCTCCACACAGGGGTTTTCTGTTCACTGTCTCTGCAGCTTACACACACCACTTCAGGGAGGAAAAGAAAATCAAAAGCCTGTGTGTGTACTGCTCTACTCCCCCTACTACTCCACAACCTGGATGTTGACATTCTTCTTCTTGCCTTTGTCTCCAGGTAGCTTGAGGTTCCTCTCTGTGATCTCGTGCTCATCATCAGAGTCTGATCCCTGCTCAGAGTCCGACAAATCCTCTTCATCTTCTGAATCTGACCCGCTGAGCTCCACCAGTGCTACATCCTGAGGACAACAGGAAGAAATCACATGACGCAATCAAATCATGCAACATCTACAGTTTTCTAGTTTACTGAATGGAGGCAAGAAAGCACAAATTTACCATCTCTATGACCCTCTGTGCATCCTCCACGTTTTCTATGTTGAAGCATCCAGCGGGAGCCTCCTCCATCTGCTGCTTCAATTTCTCATTGGCTTCGGCCATCTGAGGCAAGAAACTCTGAAGCCGCTCCAACACTGGTACACAAAATAACACACATCATATGCCTGCCTCCAATGTTTTTTTGTTTTTTGTTCTTTGATGTTTGGTCTTACCACTGCTTCTTGGGACTCTCTCAGTCAGCGGGGCTCTACTAGGCTTTGGCTTCAGGAGAAACTTCTTGCTGAACCCTGGCAGCAGAGTAAACAAGTTCATTACATTCTGTAACAGCAAAACCAGTACATTATATCTCTGGAGGGAAATAAAGTGTAAAAAGATTTCAGAAAGTATGCACAAGGTTAAAAAGTTGTTTTTGATAAAACACAAGGAATTTGCCTAACATTGAAAAGGTTCCCCACTTATATTAAAATCTTTTTAAATCCAGTTATCCAGTTTTCATGGTTGTGCTCAAGTTGAGGGCTGTATCAATTCAAATCCTATGTTATGTTATATAACAGACACGTTTAATAGCTTTAACTAATATTTAGCAAACCTCTGACATTTTGATTTAGTATATTGATCGTCTCAACCTTTAACTTTACAGGACAATGTTTTGAATTCTATATGAATACAAGTCCTAAATGTCTGAAACTGTAATGTAGGCCTATAAACATAGCCTTTGCTTTGGACACAAGTAATTAAGTTACAGCTTTGGGAACAGTTGCCTAAAACGTTTCAAGCTACAAAACACACATTAAAATTACAAAGCATTCGGTACAAATAGTATGGGAGTTTAGGAAAAGATAACGTTACACTTAAAAGACATGTTTTCTAAAGGAAACGGAAACGCAGACACACGAGCTCCTGGCTCTCGGTGTTATGTCGAGCTATGTCTGCCTGCTGCAGCGCGCACTGTCCCACTCCCCCCCCGGCCCACCATAACATAAAACCTGGTCGGACCGAGTCAGACACGCATTTCTACAATAACTTAGCGTCAACTAGCTAATTCTTCAGTGTACCACAGTTATACACGTTCGGCATCTTTCTTATAACAGCTAAAATAGAGTATTCAAACCTCCTTCGTTGCCACATGCCAACAGTGCCTGCGAACTCCTTTTCTTCATGTTTAATTCTATGTGAGTTTTCATCGAGTTACATCCGGGTAAGAGGTAAAGTAAATGGATTTATGTGAGCTATGAGTAACACAGCGCCCTCTGTTGTTAGAATAAAGTAGCTGCATGAACACGTACGTTCAACGTGAACGCTAAAAGAAAGCAGACCATTCTTATAAGTTCCCCAGAATGTCTGTGTGCCACTTTTTGTCCTTAGAGGTCTCACCTCCACTTGCTTATGTCACTTTGTCAGATAATTTCATTGAGACTCTTTTACATTGTCAGCTTGTGCTTGTTAAAACAGCTGGTTTATTTGATTGTTAGAGCATAATGATTTGACTAAAACTACACCATGACTAACTAATGTAATGGATTAGCCTACTGAATGGCCCTTCACATGCCCTAGAGGCCCGAGGGATCAGGGAGACCCAGGTGAACTGTAGGACCAGCTATTCAAAATGGTTGCTTTTCGAAATGTTTCACAATATCTTGGGTGATTGTGAAAAGGTGCCTGTTAAAAGTGTCAGCACACCATGATTGTTTCTACCCACTGATCTTCAGACTTCAAAGTAATTCAGTGTGTCTCTGAAAAAATGACTGCAGACAATGTCGAGTGTGCTGTTAGAGATGTATTGACATTAGACCTTGTACATATTGAAAGAAGTCCTGTGTTTGGGCAGATCAAATACATTCTTAATGTTGATTCCATGTGGGTGCTTTGCTGTAAAGATTTGGCTTCCATTGGTCTTTAACTCATATTTTAATGTGCACCATTTAAAAGTAGACAGTGACTGGATTTTGCTCAGACCTGGCGACGAGTTAGACCACATATCACTTGACATACAGCTGATGATAATTTGTATGTTAGATTAAAGGTACAAACATTTACCAATTTCAAAGGTTCTTGTACCCTGCTAGGGTACAGCTGGAGCGACAAAACATTTATACCCCTTTAGGTCAAATCCTGCACCTTGATTTTTTTTATGTGGAGGTTTACGTTCTCGTGTGGATACATCCACTATTCTCACATTGAGCCGTTCATCCAGCCCACATAGACGATCTTTGGTGGCACTGTTGGCTCTGACGCGACTACCTGGCTGTCAGTCACGGAACGGGATAGACTCTCAGCTCTTGTACTCGTTGAAATATCTTCGTTGCCGACAGGTAACTAATCGAAGGGAAGTTAAACAGGGTGACACTAAGAATAACTAGTCTGCTGCCTTATATTTCTTTCGCTAGCTAATTTTGTCCACTGTATTCTTCCTGGTAACGTATAAGCAAGTGGGGAGCAGTGCTTCCTACTGTTTTATTTTTACACAGCTAACGCTAGCTAACATAGTAGTGTTAGCTAACAAACTGTTAGCCAATATTTTTTTTTAGTATTTTGTTTTCTTAAAACGTATCAATATATGTTGCCATGTGCTGAAAGAGGGTGTTAGGCCACATCGCTACAGTAATATAGAAGTGCTCTTATCTGGGACTGAGACAGACAGGTACTATGGAGGCCTGGACAATGATGTAACTTGCTTTAGGCTAAAAGGTGGACAAACTAATGTATTACCTAACATGTATGGCTTTAGAACAGGTCTAGCACTTTGCTGTTTTCTTCTGTGCTCTCCCTCACTTAACTTAGTTAAATGCTAACTACTTATTGAAAACCTAACTAATGTTCCATTCCTATTCTTTCATTGTGTACTCTCTCCAGGCTGATGCAAGTCCTTAACCCCGTTTGTAACATGGATGTTGTACCTGAGCCAGTGTAAACCAGTTCAGCTGTGCATTATATGACACTGCTATTAGGCCTGATGGCAGGAGATGAGGCAATGCAGCCCTAATCATGAGCATCCAAAGTCTGGGAGGAGTTATAGGGGAGTCCCTGGGCTATAGCCTGACTGTACATATGAGTGGAGCAGGTGGTAGGTGGAGTTCTTTCTCCCTAAAACCCATTTCCTCCGGGCGGATCACCTCTCTGTTCCAGACTATGGTCCCCACTGGTTATACCAAGCTGCAGGAGGAGCGGCTAGCTCTGGTGGACCTTGGTACTAAACCTGAGGCCGGCTCTCTCCAGAATGGCTACAGACAAGAGACATGTCACACAGAAGGCCGACGGCACATGGACCGCGCTTCTCGGTCTTCTGTGACTTTATCTGACTGTGGAGATGGAGGCTACTCTGAAACAGAGCCCATGCTGGCAGAGAGAAGGCTCTCTGGGGAGGAGGCAGATGTGGAGGAAGAGAACCAGGAGAATGAAGAGGAAGGACAAGGATCTGCTGTGCAGAACATGCCCAAGGAGTCACCACTGTCTATGGCACTGCAGATCCTGGTGCCTTTCCTTCTGGCTGGCTTTGGGACTGTTTCAGCTGGAATGGTGCTGGATATTGTGCAGGTAAGCTGAGTTACAATACAAGCTATTATTCAAACAGCATTAGGCACAGTTGAGTACTCAGTCTGGATTGGTATTAAGTTTATTACAAGTTGGGTCTTATTTTTGTAGCTGTGGCCATTGTTTCTGTCAGTTATGGTAACACTGTATTCAGCAGAATAATTACTGAGATATGGGATCATGATGTTATCACTAGCACAAAGTCTGAAAAGGAAGCAAAAAGATCATCAGAGAGTTTAACTAAATGATCTTAACCACTTTATTTGTGTGTTTACTTGGAATATAATTATTCTTCATTGATCAGGTAAACAGTATGCACAACTACAGTTAGGTCAAAGTTGAAACAGGAAGGCTGTTTGTGATGGAAAATTGCAATTCAAGTTTGACTAACCTGGGGGAATGTTTATCAGACTGCTCTGCTCTGTCATCATTTTTAGTGATTTAGCACTAAAAATGCAGGGAACCAGGGACAATTTGAGGTTTGTTTGCATCCATGATTGCTTCCTTGTAGTCATCTTCACTGCCTTTGTCTACACTTTGTTACTTTTCTTTGCGTGATACTGTGTGTATCACATCAAGGCCCATTTACTAGCATTTGAAAGCTATGGAAAAAAAGATAGCAAGTGGACCTTGAATTAAGATTGTATTGTCTAGAGAAAGTCAGGATTGTCTCCAGCCACTGCTATTCTTGCAGCTAAGTTCTCCTCATCACTAATGTTTCTTGTTTTGGAGGATGTAGTGTGGTTTAAAGGATTAACTTGATTAACAGATGTCTCCAGCTTTTGCTGCATGCAAAGCCCACACTGAACATGAAAATTTGCTAACAGGAAGATGAGTAAGCCATGTTCACAACATCTCTTTAGAACATGCTACTGTATTAAACTTTATTGGCTGCCAGGATTCCTGACAAGGAAAGTGAAAGAAAGTGTAGTAGTTAGAAGGTCAAACATGTTTATAATCGGTTTTCAATGTGTTACTTTGCTGTCTTGTCCGCAGCACTGGGACGCATTCCAATACATCACAGAGATCTTCATCCTGGTTCCTGCTCTACTCGGCCTCAAGGGAAACTTGGAGATGACACTGGCGTCCAGGCTGTCCACAGCAGTGAGTCAAACACACATTCACTCAGCATGACACACAACCACAGACGTATATTTCTATGCACTATGAAGTGTGAGTAAACCGACTAGCTAACCTGTTTATGCTCAGTCCAGATGGGTTTTGGTTCTGACATGAAAACATTTCAGCAGCAAATTTGCAATGGAGATAAGCTGTGGCATATATTGTGGTGAAGCAACAGCCAGCTTCCGTGACTGAATAGCTGCCATTCCATATACTCTCATAATGCAGTTTTTGCTGGTTCCAGCTGATTTAGAAAACCTGTACAGATGCAGCGTCACACTGCATTCCCTCGACTTCTGTTTACCCGTGTTTAGCAGACAGAAAGCTGCTTAGTTTTTTTTTATCTTGTTGCAACATTGGATAAGTTGGCTTGAAAAGTTTGCACTCTCATGACATGTCCTTGTAGCTGCAATAGATGTGCAACATCTTTGTGCGGATGTGTTTGTTTGTGTGGAGTTGCATTTTCTATGGTTGTCTCGTCTCCACAAGCTAAACCTCCTGCTGTGTATAGTTGTTATTGGTCACCGCTGTGACAAACTGTAGAGCTGTCCCAATATGACCCTCTCCTCCATCAGGTGGAATGGAAAAGAAAACAGAACAGGCTTATTGCCTCCACTGGAACATCGTTTGTCATTGTAGCAGTCTCCACTTTCACTGCCCCCTTCTTAGTTCAACTTGTACTTTGGAAAGTTTCAAGAATTATTTGGGAGCATTTTGAATGGGTTTTGGAGTAATAGCACTGTAGATGAGGAATTAGCAAAGGAATTTAGTTTTGTATAAGACTGAGAGGTGCCTTCCTGCTGCAACCAGGGCAACTGAACAGTCAGATGGCAAAGTTATTGCTCTAGTTCAGCCTGTCAGAGCCTCTCAAGCAGTTTAGAAAGGGAAGAGCAGTGAGGAGGGAATTGGTTTGCCTGCAGTATTTCCCACACATTGACTTTACTGCCCAGATAACCAGATAATGGCTGTCCAAGTATATTTCACCACCCATTTTTAGTGTAACGCTAATTTTTTATGTCCAAGAGAACTGTGCAATCCACGATCAGTTAAATGCATAACAATTTGCACTCACTATTTCATCTGCACACAGTGTATTGATTCACTCAGCTGCTCCCTGTCCCACACTGTCTTTCTAACACACACACACACACACACACACACAGAGACACAAAGACAATGAACCATCAGTGAACAGCTCCTCCTGTCTGTTGCGAATATTTCCAGGATTCACCAGTGCTGCCAAAGCAGCAAAAGAGAGTCAGGAGGGAGAGAAAGAGATGGAAAGGGGCACAGCAGGCAACATGCAGAAGCTATGAGAAGGGAAGATAGCTACAGAAATACAGTATTACTGCACATTATTTAATAAATTACTAAAAACAGGTACAGCCACAAGTAAAATCTGTCAGTGAATATGTAATGAGATCATAGATGTGCACCATGTGATAGCCCACATAACTCTGTCCTGCTCTCCATGAATCTGTGTACAGCAATTACAGTCCTGTCCACAAGTGCACAAAGCCGTTACTTAGCAGAAGCCTCTCAGTGTATCTGTGTCTGTGTCTCA